CATTCTGGTGTATGGATGTACTCCCGAGGAGCATGATCACAACCTGCGGAACATGCTTTCCCGCTCCCGTGACAAAGGTATTAAGCTTAACGAAGAGAAGCTTGAAGTTGGTGTCACAGAGACTATTATCTGAACTTTGACATTTCATCAATGCCTAATTTGACACAATGCTGGTGCATTGACCTCTATGTCATTTTGTTACACAGAGTTACTCATGATATATTCACCAGATGTTCACATCATGTGTGAGAGCAACATTCTGCATATATATGTTCATGTTAAGGGGAAAAAAATGTTGTTCCGCTGGTATGGCTTTGGATAAGTTTTAGGAAAACGTTACGGTTACTTGGCAACGACCACTTCTGGTGGCCATCATGTATGTTATCCTTGCTGGAGTAAAAGCATGGTGAAATATTGAAAGTGTTTTGGTTGTTGTGCCTTTCCCATCTGGCGTTGTCTGATTTTTATATGATTTCTATCGAGAAGGATGTCATAATTTAATATGTAAAACATTTTATCACCTTTGCTAAAGGTATGTAATGTTTCAGTGATTCTCATCAGTACTACAACAGGATGAACATATATACACACATACCCACATGAAAGCACGAAATGCAAATTTTGCATAGACTTAACTACAGCACTAAAATTAAATCTAAGTGATTCATTATCCATCAAACACAGATATCAGACATTACCAGTAAAGGTTTTAGAATGTTTATTTTGCTACTGTCAATTTCATTGTGGTCAAGTTCTTGTAAATAATATATAAATCATGCAAATCCCATATCCTCTCTCAGCTGATAACCTGATACATATATTTTCATAATGAATGAATCGTCCCATCTCAAAAGGACTAAATTGAGGCTAATATTAAGGATGAGCAAAGATATGATACACTTCCAACAAACTACAGTTACATCTGCAGCCATTTCCCAACTGTGACATCATCATATGCTCCAAAATCAATTTATCCTTCCAGAACATGACGAATATGGCTTCCCTTTCAGTTCTGATGACATCACTGCCGGATCTGAGGATGTCACTTTCGGTTATGAGACCACTTTCGGTGACTTTGACATCACTGCCATGACTACAAAGCATGATTCCTGGCGATAGATAACCTGAGATCTGTCTTACACCCATTAGACAATAATGATCAAAGGTTAACCCACCTTTCAAGGCTGCTGCTGTCGGAACTCTCATTCCGTCTTCTCTACCACCCCTGCAGGGAAAACTACTTAGCAAGAGATAGAATGGCTGCCACTACTGGCCCTAGATTTTAAGTCCCATGAAACGATAGGTTGACAAACTTGTTTTGAGGCTTCCCCTGTGAACTTAAGACCATCTATCCACAGACAGTGTGTTCCAGGGTCCCGTTGTACAAAACAATTAACCTCAGTGCTATGACTGTCGTAAGTCTATGTTAAGGTATAGGAGTTACGATCACCTTAGGGCTAAGACTGCTTTGTACAATGGCACCCAGTATACATGCATAGTTGACAGAACTCCTATCTTGTCTCATGGGTCCAAACATGGAGTAGACAGCTGTGGATGACGATGGCTGTCTGTGATGGTGGACTTCAACCATCCCCTGAAAATTGGCTTCTGTGAAATCTTTATCTGATAATGTCTTGCAAGAGATAAACACCACCTCCTGTTTTCTCTGTGAGATTCTTTTACTATTAAGATTGGGCATAGGAGACCGATTTGGTGTAACCACAAGTTTGCATCTTTTGCGGCATAACAAGGAGGAAAAGACGTGCACAATATCCATGTCCAAAATCATAAAGAATGCATTAACTTTGAGAGGTCCAATACCGTAAAATGTACCCTGGAAACCTGTTGTTGAAATGTGACGAACAATGTGAAGTATGTCCTACACCAATATTATCCAATGAAGAAATGGACAAACAGTTCTGTTGTTGTCTGTGGCAACAAACATCGAGCATAGGGATAAGTGGTGCATGAGAAAAAGTGGCACAAGCTGATTCTTGTCCTCATCGGATGAAAAGAAAACTTGTTGTATCCATATAGATGCACTAACTGGATGAGAAACAATTCTGATAGCACCGTAATTCAAGTGAACAGTAACTAGAAAAATTGTAAAAATGAACGTAGACTGAAGTGCAAAGTTACTGTACTGATTCCATCTGGAATTTTGGTGGATGTAACCAATATGTCTTGTTGAGAAACTTCAGCTCTATGAACAAGTGCATAACAACAAATCACCGATCATGTATCATTGGGTAATGGAAACTTGAAATCATGGTTCTCACTGGTCAGAGTAGTTGCACAGTAGAATGAATCACTTCACTCTTGCATAAACCAATTGCACTTCACCCATACATAAGCAATTGGCTGTCTGTGAATTTCATGCCTGTAACAAAAAAGAAATTGTTGCTGTACACTGCATCACAATCTCGTGATGTATTTTAAATTTCCACCAATCATTAGGAGTAAGTGTCAGATAAACCTTCAGTAGTTAAGAATCTAAGACCATAGAGATAATTATGACGATAGGGTTCCCAGACAGTCAAGGTCGACTTCCTCATCCTAGTTAGTTCCAAAACTGCCTCAGTCCGAACTTGGGTGGGAAAATATTGTCGCTGTAACCAAGTGAATTGGCTGGACATTCATATCTGGTAAAGACTCTTCCTGCATTTAACAATGCTATCAAGAAAACTGTTTATCACACTAACCCAGTCCGTACAGATGATAACTGGCATTTGTCATGAGAATTCCTCTTGTGGAATGAATCGATGAAGTCCCGTACTCTTATAATCTGTCACTCAATCATTACAGAGTGAGGTTGTTATGTGTTGAGATGGAAACCCACCCATGCTGGAGATGAACCAGATTCTATGTACTTTTCCCACCCTACTAAAAAGACCGCTGAGACCTGTGTTCTGTAATTCCCAAATAGCTCTCTTGTCTAATAACGCATGTACAGCCAACTCTGCTAACTTTGTCCGTTCCAGAAGAAGTCTGCGTCTCTCGGGATGGGATACAAGCTGTAGTTGTTGCTTATGCAACTTAAGCTACAACAAATGCAACTTATATCCGTTTTTCACAACTTCAAGAACTTTGCGGTCAGTCATGATATGCTTCCTCTTGGTTAGTTCAGACACCACTTTATTGCTGGGAACTTGTGAGATAACATGTTGCCTGGCTTGACATCCAAACTTGGGAAGTCAAGAGAATTTCCTACATCTTCATTATGCTGTACAAAGGCTATGGATGAAGCCCACTTGATCAATCAGCACAATGACTGGTGTATCCCCTGAGATGCCCTCATAGGACTCATGAAGAGGTGTATCTAGCTCCTTGATCCTGGCCATACGCAAAGACATCTTGATACTGGGAGATCTCATTAACTTGATGTAATCTTCATCAATAGATGAAGGGTCTAGAAAAGGACAACCTTCCATCTGGCAGATGCAACTTTACATTTGAGGCAGAGGCAATTTATCACTACTCAACTACTGCAAATTTTCATTGGCTTGATGGCCACAGGAGAGTATGACGCCTGTAAGCCGAAGACAATGGACCTCAACAACCAGAATACTACAGCATTTAAAGTGCAGTTTGTTCTTCTCCTTTAGGTTGCAGATCTGGTTTAAGGTGATAAATCTCAAAGGCAACTACGCTTGTCGTAAAAAGTGACTATGTTATCCATACAATTGTGTCTATCTTGACATCCGTCAACTTCTAAGTATTGCCGGGCAGTCGGGTAGCCCAGTGGTTAAAGCGTTCACTCGTAATGCCGAAGACCCGGGTTCAATTCCCGACATGGGTAGAATGTGTGAAGCCCATTTCTGGTGTCCCACGCCGTGATATTGCTGGAACATTGCTAAAAGCGGCGTAAAACCATATTCAATCAATCTAAGTAATGCCTATCAAACAATTTGTGACTAACGAGATCGGGTGTTCAGGCTTGGTGACTTGGTTGGTGCATGTCCTCGTATCCCAACTCAGTGGATCGATGCTTATGATGTAAATCACTGGATTGTCTGGTCTGGACTTGATTATTTACAGACCGCCGTCATGTAGCTGGAATATTGCTGAGTGTGACGTTAAACAACAAAGAAAAAAAATGACTGACTGAAGCAAGCTGAGGGTCTAGTGTAGCTGTGGCCTCTCTGGTGATGGTACCTGAGACAGGCTGCTTCTTAGGAACCACTGCTGGGTGTTTCCAGTGGTATCCATGACTTGTGTAGAGTCTGTACGGTAACCATGCAGTGACTGATGGTCACGGCTGGACGCTGCTTTCCAATTCTTGATGAGCTTGGATGGATGTGGATCAGGGCTTCTACTGGTGCTTGCTGCATGGAAACCATGCTTGTTAGTCAGCCAAGCCTAAACCAGTGATGTACAAAGAGGGGGGACAACCCTAAGGCCTCTTGGCCGGGGGATGATTCTGGGTCAACTTGTGCTGCTGGATACTTTTCTGAATCTCAGCTAGTGCAGTTGGAGACTCCACAATAGAGTGGGTGCATATCTCTGTCAAAGCTGTAGAGACAGACGAAAAACCTCACTGGTTTTCTAGCAGCCTGCTTCTATCTGGCCTTCTTCCAAGCATCTAGGCAGCATGAAGAAAATGGATTTCCACTGGTCTAAATTACCCATACTTTTGCAGTCAGCTGCAGATGACGGTGAAAGAGATGCCATTCTGTCCCACAACCTCAACCATTCTCACATGACCAGATTCAATAACTAATCAGCTGTAAATAGGATATTAAAGTATATGTATCTAGAAAAGTTAAACTGAAAGTATAGATTAACTACAGTGTGACAAACTACTATAGTGTGCTGGACAAACATTTTCATTGTAGCAGGAATGAAGTGAGGCAGTACAACTGATTATGGATAGTTGACATTGAAGAGGAAAGATTGACATAATGTGTGTATTACAGGATTTATTGCAGTTATGTAAATGGGGAGGGTATATGCAGGAATTATGTAAAACATGCATTTACATGTAATGTGTGGTCACTTACTCCTTGTTTGTAGAAGGGTTGAGAGCAGCCGCTACAAAACTCATGAGCACATTCAGGGCATTTGAAATGCATGCATCCTCCTTTCGCAAGTGAGTAGCGCATCTTACAGCTTGGGCAGTCTGAAAGAGAACATATTAAATATGATTATCATTAACATATGATGTATGCTCTATTAGAAACCAACTCATCTGCCCTTGATTTGCATGAGCTAAGACGTAGATGTTTAGGTTGATATATCTTCGAGCAAGTACACGCTCCAGTCGCTTATAACAAAGCTGAATGCCGCTGTTTGAATTGCGTAGATAAGGGTGTTTATTCAAGCATTATCATTCACCAAAACTTCCATATGCCATCTTATAATCTTGAATGTTTAGCTTGTTTTACAAATACTGTCTTTTAACTAATGTACAGAAATACCACTTTCTACTGTCAAATGAAACATGAAACATGTGTTTGAACCCATTTGACCCTGAACATGACAATTAATTATTGTTCAGTGTCTCTAATGTTCTCAGAAATTTTTATTGCCATTAGGGCCATGGTGGGTAACCAGAAAAGATTGTAGACAAACACATTTCACTGATTGTACCACAATCTTTGTAACATATTTAGCAGTGTAAATTTCACCCTAAGGATGAAAATTATTTACAAGGAATTTGATCAATTAAGAGATCTTACTTTTGCACTAAACTTCAGTGCCTTATGATAGTGTACCCATCACGATTGTGGTGATAAGGATTTTCTTAATATTAGGAATCTTTAAATGACATAGAAATGATAGTTTCAGTAGTCATTGGTCAGTGAGAATGGCTTGCTTCTTTCTTTGTATTTTCAAGTTTCTTGAAGTTTCATTTTTATTTCCATGACTGATATTAGTATAAAGCATTTTGGTTTGTTGCCAGGAATTATCGTGGTGGGGATGGTCTATATTATGAAGTGCAGTGATACTTGATACTGTGTAGTCTGTATGCCTCTGTTATTTTAAGGGAGTAATGCATGAGTGAAAAGTATCTGTACTGTGGTAATCTTTCATTTTGTTTGTCGGTCAGGGATGAAGTCATGTTCAAGATTATTGCACTTATTTAGCTGTGTGTGTGTGTGTGTGTGTGTTCTGACTCCGAGCCAACCAGTCCTTGTTTTAGCCCCTAAATGCCAAGCACCAGGCATGGTAACAACAAGTGCCATCTTTTTAACGTCTTTTGGTATGTCACAGCTGGGCATTGAACCCCGACGATGCTCTACCACTAGACCACAGAGGTGGTCTTTTGTTATCTGATTGGCCAGATCATGGTAGTCTTATTTATGAAGCCATTCGAAATAAGAACAGTTTTCTGATGGGAAATCTCATTTTCATCACAAGGTCACAACTCTTCACGGGGTGGCATCATGATTGAGCCAAGAAAGTAGGCAAGGGTGAAATCTACAACTTTGATACAGGCTAGTGGACACAATTGACTCAGTAAGATAATCATCATTAGGATATGTCCTTTCCAATGATATGCTTCTTCCTGAGGATAGGCTTGTGTTCCTGGATACGTTCCTGAAGGTTGGCTAGTGCCCTGGATACGGCTCTGAAGATAGGCTGGTGCTCCTAGATACGTTCCTGAAGGGAGGATGGTGCCCTGGATATGGCTCTGATGATAGGCTGGTGCTCCTGAAGGTAGGCTGGTGCTCCTGGATACGTTCCTGAAGATAGGCTGGTGCTCCTGGAAACGTTCCTGAAGACAGGCTGGTGCTCCTGGATACGTTCCTTAAGATAGGCTGGTGCTCCTGAAGATAGGCTGGTGCTCCTGGATACGGCTCTGATGATAGGCTGGTGCTCCTGAAGGTAGGCTGGTGCTCCTGGATACGTTCCTTAAGATAGGCTGGTGCTCCTGGATGCGTTCCTGAAGACAGGCTGGTGCTCCTGGATACGTTCCTGAAGATAGGCTGGTGCTCCTGGATACGTTCCTGAAGACAGGCTGGTGCTCCTGGATACGTTCCTTAAGATAGGCTGGTGCTCCTGAAGATAGGCTGGTGCTCCTGGATACGGCTCTGATGATAGGCTGGTACTCCTGAAGGTAGGCTGGTGCTCCTGGATATGTTCCTGAAGGTAGGTTGGTGCTCCTGGATACGTTCCTGAAGATAGGCTGGTGCTCCTGGATACGGCTCTGATGATAGGCTAGTGCTCCTGAAGATAGGCTGGTGCTTCTTGATACGTTTCTGAAGGTAGGCTGGTGCTCCTAGTACGTTTCTGAAGATAGGCTGGTGCTCCTTGATACTTTTTTGAAGGTAGGCTGGTGCTCCTGGATACTTTTTTGAAGGTAGGCTGGTGCTCCTGGATACTTTTTTGAAGGTAGGCTGGTGCTCCTGGATACTTTTTTGAAGGTAGGCTGGTGCTCCTGGAAACGTTCCTGAAGATAGGCTGGTGCTCCTGGATACGTTCCTTAAGATAGGCTGGTGCTCCTGAAGATAGGCTGGTGCTCCTGGATACGGCTCTGATGATAGGCTGGTGCTCCTGAAGGTAGGCTGGTGCTCCTGGATGCGTTCCTGAAGACAGGCTGGTGCTCCTGGATACGTTCCTGAAGATAGGCTGGTGCTCCTGGATACGTTCCTTAAGATAGGCTGGTGCTCCTGAAGATAGGCTGGTGCTCCTGGATACGGCTCTGATGATAGGCTGGTACTCCTGAAGGTAGGCTGGTGCTCCTGGATATGTTCCTGAAGGTAGGTTGGTGCTCCTGGATACGTTCCTGAAGATAGGCTGGTGCTCCTGGATACGGCTCTGATGATAGGCTAGTGCTCCTGAAGATAGGCTGGTGCTTCTTGATACGTTTCTGAAGGTAGGCTGGTGCTCCTAGTACGTTTCTGAAGATAGGCTGGTGGTCCTTGACACTTTTTTGAAGGTAGGCTGGTGCTCCTGGATACTTTTTTGAAGGTAGGCTGGTGCTCCTGGATACTTTTTTGAAGGTAGGCTGGTGCTCCTAGTACTTTCCTTAAGATAGGCTGGTGCTCCTGAAGGTAGGCTGGTGCTCCTGGATACGTTCCTGAAGATAGACTTGTGCATCTTGATACGGCTCTGAAGACAGGCTGGTGCTCCTGAATATGGCCTTGAAGATAGGCTGGTGCTCGTGCATACATTCCTGAAGATAGGCTGGTGCTTCTTGATACGTTTCTGAAGGTAGGCTGGTGCTCCTAGTACGTTCCTTAAGATAGGCTGGTGCTCCTGAAGATAGGCTGGTGCTTCTTGATACGGCCCTGAAGATAGACTGGTGATCGTGGATACGTTCCTGAAGATAGGCTAGTGCTCGTGGATATGTTCCTGTGGACAGGCTGGTGATCGTTGATACGTTCTTAAAGATGCTGGTGCTAGTCATTGTCTTACTTCAAAAGCAATACAAGAATCAGGAACCGTTATCTGGTAACAACATTGACCCAGTGAAGATCTTTTAAAACAAGGCTTGTGCTCCCCTTCTTGGGGATCTGTTTCTTTATGCATATGAATCGGCATTTCTGTTCAGATTGGCAAAGTCAAAACAAGGTAATTTGGTCAAGAAGTTTAACTTAAGCTTTAGGTACTGTAAATCTTGAAATTAACACGAGCTTGAATTAAATGCGAAAAACATCGCATTTATATCAACAATAAGACATTTTAGATAGCAGAAATACCAACTTAGACATATGCTGAAAAGAAACAACTATGTATTCAACATCACTGTTTATTGAGCAGAATTTGTAACAAATGTCATTCAAACTCTAATTACATCCTGTGAATTGTCACTCCTTTCAAGTGAGGATTCTCCTGTAAACCTGACAGAGGACATTTCTTTAGATATACATCCACTGATGCTTGAGAGGAGGGGGTGTCGCATTCATATTGAGTCGCATTTTTGGCTAGGGACCAGCGGTCGCATTCTTTTGTAGACGCATTAATTTCATGATTTACAGTATATCGATGATCTGATATCGTTCCTATAACAATAAAATAGACAATTCCTTTCCATTGATTTACCTACCTGAACTAGAAATATAGGAGACCAGTGAGACCGCCTCATCAGTTTCATATTTAGATCCATGCATAAAGATTCAGAGTGACAAAACAGTCTCCACAAGACTGTATGACAAGGGGGATGACTTCATCTTTCCAATAGTCAACTTTCCCTTCATGTCGAGCAATATTCCAGCAGTTCCAGCCTGGTGTTTACATTTCGCAAATTTTGAGATACAAGCGAGCATGCTCTTTCAACCAAGATTTCAAAGAGCATCATACAACTTTTGCTCAGAAGTTGTTTGATCAAGGTTACAACATTCAAGGCCTCAGTAAAGCTTTCAAAATGTTTTGTTGAAGACGTTTCCAAATTTGATGTAACAAAAGTCCGTATTTTGACTTGTACCATATGTTCCCATGTTTTTTCACGTGAACAATTGACTTGCCTTTGCATGTGTTTGTGATGGGTGCCACCCATGGGACATGTTACGCTCACCTTTTTCGCGAACACCTGGTACCATTACTATTTGATAGTGATTCATAAACACATGCTCATTATATAGTTGGAATTGTACAATCGACAATCGAAAGGGTTTCTAAAAAGGTTTAGTCGCTTTATTTATGTGATCATATTTTCTTGACTTTATGACAAACCTGGTAGCCATCGCTGGCTTTTGCCTATCAGAGATTTTGGTAGGCCGAATTATCAGTATCTAGAAATGTTGAAGATTTGGGCCTGACTTGTCTGTGGATTAATGGGTTATGTGTCCCACTTTTCATAGTTGTTATCTTTCCAATGATATCTGTACTGAACAACAAAAGATCCTGTGACATTGAATAAGATTTAATGCAAAGTTATGTTTTTTACCAAATCTGAAACAAATTTGGGTTTGCAACAGATAAAAGACTTAAATGGTTTAATTTGCCATACTGACTTCAGAAAATGCGTGATTTCACCAAAAACATGAACATGCCAAAATGTCGATTTACAAATCAATAGCGTGTGTGTCCACCTCTGGTTGCGATGCAAGCAACACATCTTCATCTCATGGAATGGACCAGGCGTCGCACAAAGTCCTGTGGGATATCTGTCCATATCTGCTGGAGCATGTTTCGAAGTTTCTGGAGTGTCTGTGGAACACATGGTTGACGTCGAAGGCGCCGATCCATCTCATCCCACATGTGCTCGATTGGTGAGAGATCAGGGGAGCGAGCCGGCCAGGGTATGACATTCACGTTGTTTTGTTGACGAGAATTCTGAACAAGTTGCGCAATATGAGGCCGGGCGTTGTCGTGTTGAAAGGTAATGCCTGGGCCATGACGACGCAAAAACGGTAGAACAGCAGGGCCAATGATCTCGTTGCGGTAGTGCTGTCCATTGAGATTTCCCTCTACCACTATCAAACGGGTCCTCTGTTATGCTGTAATCCCATCCGATACCATAACGCTGCCGCCCCCGAACCGATCTTCTTACATGACACAATGATTGATGGAACCTTCACCTCGACGTCGGTACACTCGAATCCGTTCCATCGCTGTGGCTGAGATGAAAACGAGACTCGTCAGTGAATAGAACTTGTCCCCACTGAATGGCCGTCCAGCATAGACGCTGTCTGAACCACTGTAGACGTGCTTGACGGTGGTTTCCTGTCAAAATGGGACGTATGGCGGGTCTTCTGAGGCACATATGAGGCCACGACGTACGGTTTGTGAAGATATTTGTCGAAGGCCAGGGATCCTTCTTGCAGTCACTGTTGCTGGCTGGAAACGATTTTGTAGGTGTGTTGTTCGAATCCAGTTGTCTTGTCGATTATTGGTTACGCGTGGCCTGCCACTCTGAGGATGGTCTCTGATTGCATTCGTCTGTTGCCAACGTTGCCATACACACCAAATGGTGTTTCTGTGGATGTTAAATTGTCTTGCAACATCACGTTGATTCGATCCTGCTTCAAGCATACCAATGGCTCGCAGAGGCTTATTTTCGGACAGGCGTGGCATTTCATAATGTTGAATAATTGCGTAATTTTGTTGTTTTTCTGAGTGGTTGTTGTCGGCATGATGCTAAACAATACATATGGAATCCTGTTAACGCACGTTTTTATACCCATTCTTGGGTAGTGAAATGCATGGGGCTAGCATAAAAGTCAACTTTTGCATGGAATGCATGCTTTTCTGTAGTAGTTGCGTTTTTGTGACTTGATTCCATACATGTACTACATTATTGAAAACCAAACTTTACTTGTTTGAAAAATACACTAACATATTGGTGTCACAGGAACTATTGTTGTTGAGTATACTTAGCATTCCCATTTGTTAATTAACATGATTAAGGCTCTTGCTCAGCCAGATTATGCTTGACATGCATCCTCTATATCGTGGCCATTCTTAAGTCAGACTTGTATTTCAACCCATATAACAATGTATGGTGATACTCACCTATCCCACTCTCTTCCAATACCTTGGCTAGTCCAACGGCTTGGTTTTCTGGATCATTGTCAAACTTCCACTGTGTGAACTCTTCACAGGTTAGACCTTCATGCTGATCTTCCCACTGGTAAACACAGAGAAGAGTATATTCCATAATTCCCAAAACATCAAACAGTTAAGGAGCATTTCTGATATGAGGGGAGGCTAAAATTTGGTGGGTCTAACTACAAAGGATGTATAGTACAACTTCATCAGTTTGCATGTATGAAGTACTTTCCATGCTTACAAGCTGCATTTGAACCAAATACACAACAAGGCAGCATATATGCCCTGTTTTCAAACGACACCTGTTTTCAAACAGCCATATTGATTGTGATTCTCTTGTAATAAAGAGAAGTGTGAAGCTGCTGATTTGATAGGTAACATCTCTGCAATCATTGATTACAAAAATGCTCCATGTCAGACTCCAGGGGTAAGTCTACCATATTAACTTCTCTAACACCTTCTGCACCTGCATCTAAAAACAACATGTGTAACATAGTAAATTCAAGATTCTACCATGAATTTGGAAAATACTTGATTTTGATTGGTCATTCAGAGGTATCAAATCACAATAAACCACTCTGATTGAATTTGATAGCTGCATCACTGCGGAAGCTAATATTTCAAAATAGTACTGCTTTTACAATCACTGTCGGTAGGCGTATCTAAATAATTATTGGCTACACGTTCGGTTCCAAATTTAATTTAGCATGGTTATATATAAATCTACAGGTAACCTAGCTCTACATTGAAAACACAGTATGTTTATCTTCTAATTATTTGCAGGAAATATCGTCTGCTTATTGAACATGTGACCTAAACTAGAAGCAAATTACATCATTTTTTCAAAAGTATGCAAACCTATTCGGGTAATTACTTATTAGATTTTTATGTTTTAATTTATTAATTTTCGGATTTATTGGATGCATTCTGATGAGGCCTTGTCAAGAAGCTCACTCCACTGTGGTAAAGGATGGGATTAGCATTCAAATTGCCAGAATCTTGTCTGTGCTAATCACAAGTCTTTATTACAGTTGAAGTGGTATGATTGAGAGTTCATGTACTAAATATGGACCAGAACCTCAACTTGCCAAGTTCGCTGTTGCCATCATCTTAAGGTGGAAATCAAAAGATGACAACTCACTTTCCTTGAACTGGTTCAATGGTTTCACGAAAAGAGATGGCCGGACCTTAAAGTGCAGAAGCCAAGGGCCTTTGAATGTCAAAGAGCTAACGCTACATCAGAGGAGACTGCAGCAAACTTATACTTTAAAAAGCATGACCTCAAAACAATCCAAAACATGCACAATTTGGATGAAAAAGGTCTCATGGGAAACCACAAGCCTCCTTGTGTCATTGGATCTTTTGGAGATATTCCAATTGCTGTTACATTGCTTAGATCAAGCACCACTATGATCACTGAATGTGGAAACGCCATCTGAAACAGCATCCCACCTTACTTCGAATTAAAAGGTATGCGAGATGATTTAGCAGACGGTTGTTAACCTGATACTGCAGGAAATGAGCAATTCAGGATAGTCCAACAAGAAGATTTTGAAGACCTTTCTATCTGAATGAATCTTAGTTTACAGAGAATGGATACATTTATCATAAATGACAAATAGTGACTCATTGAAAGTCATATTTGTTGTAGTTTGACCATTATAAGTCAACATGACACTTTCGATTTAGGTAACAAGACTGCAGGAAGCCTCAACGGTGATTGGTAAAACTATTCCTATTATACAAAATATCCGAGAATCAGCAGAACCAAAGTATTACCTTATGGTTATTATTATTACAAATTAAAATCTCGAGATATTGGAATATATCATCCCTGGTAAAATAATAGTTTCAGATACAATTTCATCTTATTTTTATCATTGGGTTTTCCGAATTCCAACTTTACTGGGCGCAACTTCTATTTCAAGAGAATGAAGCCCCCATTTTGTGACTTTTGTCAGATGTACATAATCAGATGTACAGGGTTCACTCAAGGGATGTACAGGGTTCACTCTTGGAATTTTCTGACATGGGCCCTTTATGTAAAAATGTCAAATATTCCAGAGGTACGCCCATACAGCACAATGTTAAAATGCCTCATTGTATTTGCAAATGTGGGCCTTTTTTCAAATTTAGGGGCTAAAAGCACAAGGCCCCACCCTGGAATTATCCCTGGATGTAACTCCCAACTAATGGAAGGATGATGTCGCGACAAAAGCAAAACCCCACATTGATATATTTTGCTTTAATTAATTATATTTGGTGTTCAAATGGATTGTTTGTTGTGACTCCTGTATCTTGACTATGTATCTAATCATGTACATCACGTGACAAATATTGATATCCAATCTGCATTGTACTCTGGGCCTTGATGCCTAAATTACCGAATACTGTAAAACAGGAATTTAATGCGACATGAAAATAATGCGAGCTCTTGATTTTAGACTTACTTACTTACTTACTTTGGAGATTTAACGTGCGCTTTCCGACTGATGCGTATTTCGCACACGGGCCCGGCCAGGCCATTTAATGTGTTTCCGAAAGGGGCGAAGGTGGTCTGTGCAACCCAAGAGGGGGGTTTTAGGGGTTGCTTATATAGAATTTGGGAATTTTGAGATTTGGAATAGATTCCGATGGGATTGGGGAGGAGAACTAAGGGAGCTGGGTATGGTGGATGTTTGTTTGTTTATGTGATTTTGATTTGGTGAGTTATTGCGTTTTTAGATGCGTTTTATTAGTTCCGTTTTGATTAAGAATACGCCTAAGGCCTTGAAGTTTTCTAGTTTATTTTGTGGGTTTAGTATTGCTTCTAGAGTTAGAGCCTTGTTTAGATTGAGGGTGGTTTGTAATGCGGTTCGATGTGTTAGGTAGTGTGTGCAGTGGATGAGTGCGTGTTCTGGGGTTTCTGGTTGTTTGCAGTGTGGGCAGTTACCTGTAGTGTGTTTTTTAAATTTTTTTAGGTGGTTATTTAGGTTGGTGTGTCCTGTTTGGAGTTTAGTGATTACTCTGTCGATTTTTTTGGATGGATGGAGAATTTTTGGTTTGGTTAGTGGTTTGCTGAGCACTTTTTTGATTTGGCTATTTGAGTTTAGATATAGGTTATGCCATTTTTTGGTGATTTTTTGCTTGTTTACACTTTTAATTTCTGATTTTGAGATGGGTAAGTTTAAGCTTATTTCTGGAATTTTGAGGGATAGTTTAGCTGCTTTATCGGCGTTTTCATTACCGTATATTCCTACGTGGGCGGGTATCCACAAGAAGGTTATTTGTTTGCCTGCCTTAGTTAGGTCGTTGGAGCTTTTAAGTATTTGATTTATTAATTTAGGTCGGTTTTTGGTATTTTTGTTTTGGAGGGCTTGCAGTCCACTTAGGGAGTCGGTAAGTATTAGGATTTTTTTGTGGTTTTTGGATTCTTGATTATGGAGGGCTGAGGCCATGCCCATTAGTTCTGCCGTGAATATTGATTGGTTGTTTGGGAGTCGGAAGGATTGTGTGGTTTTAGTTGGTTGTGTGGTATGGACTCCGAAACCTGTGTGTTTGGAGGTCGGATCTGAGGATCCGTCTGTGTAAATGTGACACCAATTTGGCCAATTTTCGTGTATGTATGCTAGTGTGGTAGTTTTAGCTATGTTTGGGTCGGTTTGTTTATTTATTTGGCTAGCTAGTGTTGTGTCTATTTTGGGTATTTTAAGTTTAGGGGTGAAGATATTTGATTGTTTGCAGTTTTGTTTAAGATTTTTAATTTGGTGTTCATTTAGGTAGTTTGTTATTCTTTGGGATATTGGGGTAAGTAAGGGGTGTTTACGAGCTAGAGCTTGGTTTTTGGGGCTGATGTTTTGGTTTATTAAGTTTTGGATGAGAGGGTTTGATTGGGACGCGGCCCAGAAATTTAAGCTTAGCTGTTCCCTGCGTAGACTTAGTGGCATTTCTCCTGTTAAGGCCTGAAGTGAGGTGTAGGAGGTGCCATGTTGGGTGCGTGTAATTAGTTTGAGAGCCTGATATTGTATTGAGTCAAGTTTTTTAGATAGAGAGTTGTTTAGGGTGTTGTATATGGCGCAGCCGTAGTCTAGTTTTGATCTAATTAGTGATATGTAGAGAGAGAGGAGGGTATCTTTGGATGCTCCCCAGTTAGAACCAGTTAGGCATCTTAGGGTGTTTAGGTCTTTACTGCATTTAGTTGTTAGGTTTTGGATGTGAGCATCCCAGGTGAGATGTTCATCGAAAATAAGTCCTAAGAATTTGGTTTGTTTTTGAAATTTGATTGTTTGATTGTTTAGCTGGAGGATTGGGGAGGCGGGTTTCATGTTTTTATGTTTGAATACTATTCCTGTTGTTTTTTCTGAGTTAAGGGAGAAGCCCCATTTGTCAGCCCACTGTTGTATTTTATTAAGAGATTTTTGGAGTAAATTTTGGACCATGTTCATGCTTTTAGTGCGGATCCAGATGACTCCATCATCCGCGAATTTTGATGTGTTTACTTTAGGGGATAGGCCCTCGAATAGATCGTTTATCATTATATTGAAGAGGGTGGGGCTGAGGATACTGCCCTGTGGAGTACCATTTTCTAGGGGACATTGGTCCGATAGAGTTTGGTCTATACCCACGGTTATTTTACGATTGTTTAGGAAGTCCTGGATGTAGTTTATTATCTGACCTTTGAGTCCTATTTTTTTAAGTTTTTGTATTAGCCCATCGTGCCATACCATGTCGAAAGCTTTAGAGAAGTCTAAGAAGATGCCTGTGGTATATTGTTTATTTAGCTGTCCTGTCTTAATATCTTGTTCTAGTCGGGTGAGGTTATCTAGGGTTGAGCGGCCAGGAGTGAAACCGCTTTGATCTGGGTTTATGATGTTATTTTGGGTTAAGTAATGTTGTAATCTATTTTTAGCCATTGATTCCATTACTTTACATAAGTTTGAAGTTAGGGATATTGGTCTATATGAGTTAGCTTGATTAGCTGGTTTATTAGGTTTAGGGATTGGTATGACTAGGGCCTGTTTCCAGGGAGTAGGAACCTGTCCGTTTAGGTAGATGAGATTGTATAGTTTGAGTAGTGCCTGGAGTAGTTTTAGGGGGAGT